TTTAAACTTTTTATTCTTTTCATTTTAATGAAATGAGATTGATTATTTTCGAGGTTTCTTTATCGTAACATCTTTAATTGCGAAGATACGTCGCGCGAACAGATGTTGCATCGCGTAGTTATTTTCCACGTCTAATTAAAGTTTTCTCGGTAAATATGCACGTTGCATTGCACTCCGGATATACGGCCTGCGTGACGATGCCTACGACTGGCCCCGTATGCTAATGAATCTTCCGAGGTCAAAAGAGCTCGCTCGAATGGTCTAAGCTCTAAGCGCAGACGATGTGGCGCTGGCCGGACTCTGTATTATGACTCTGTTTAGTCGAGAAAGAGATTTTCTAACGAACGCGACACAAACGCGATTTTCGCGACACGCGAGACAGAAGAGCGTGTGTATAATTGACATTCGTCAAAATAATTTCGCGCGGAAACGCCCTCCCGATACGCGGAAACGTCAGTATTACGCATGCGGATATAGAAACCCATTTCCGCTAAATGCGCTGGTAATTACAATCGACTGACTTCCCGCCATCAGCTACTATCGAGACATCAAAGTGCCGCGCTTCCGTGTCGTTCGCAGAATCGACGCTGACGCGATGGAGAACGAGTTTACATATCATTTGTTATCGCCAGATAACTATGTATCATACCGCGGTGCTGAAATGCACGGCGCGGTGTGCGACGATGAAGCAAGTCTTGCGGTCTCACATCATATCATCAAAGCGACCGCCGCCGTGCAACTTTTTATTTCGCGCGGAAGTGCGATGAAAACTAAACTCTTGTAAACTGTGGAATCCAATTTAAGCGCCCTACATTTAATTTATCGCGAATATATTTAATTTAATTAAATTTATTTATGATTTTGCAAATCCACGCGACGCGGTGTACAAATATTAACATTAGCGTAAATGCGTCTCGTCTCTCGCGTCTCTTTTTACGGATGCGATTCGCGCCCTAGTTATATAGAGAAAGAAGGACTCTTGTATGGTAGACAATCATTTGGTGAAACACAGCCAAGTATCGTCCTTGAAATTTCGATCAAACTGCACCCATCGCAGAAACCCGCGGGCATTTTTCGAGAAAGGATCCGCTCCTTTCTTGATTCGGGCCGGTTAATTCGCAATCATAATTCACGATTATATTTCGGCGAATGTAAATGTCGCAGCTCGACGAGGAGAGAAAGTGATCGTCTCCGAGATATACGCATGATATCTTTCGAATTGCGACACCTTGGATATTAAAAAAAAAAAAATCAGTATGCGATATTGTAAGTATAGATATTTTATTCAATTTTTTTCTAAGAATGAAAAAAATTAAGAATGTTGTGTATATTCTTGGATTATGTATTTTTACGTTGCTGGATACATTTGTGCATAATGTGTCGCGACTCTATATGCCCTAGGTGACATTATAAGTATTCCACGGATCGCGCTCGTTACGTATTCAAATTATTTCCGCGGAATCGGTTATCGTCGGCGGAACTGAAAGTATAGCCAGCTCGATACATTCGCGATTTCATATCCATTCCGTTCACCGGACTTATCGACAAGATCGCGTACTTCGCCCTAAGCGTCGGTTACGAGCACCGCACGAACATTCAAGGAATATATCTTGACGTCACATCTATGACGGAAAATAGAGCCGGCCGTTGGACATAATTTAATAAAAATCATCAGCTTATCGCAAATGAACGAATTGCGAGCTGTCAATCGTACACTTATTTCGACGTTCGATAATCTCGTATCTGTGCGATCGAAGAATGTTGCATAATCGATGATACAAACTGAAACTAGACTAATAAATACCTAAAGACATCGCTTCTTTCTCTTGTCAAGTTTAAATATATTTTACTCTGATAAATATATATATTAAAAGAGACACATAACAAAATCAATGATAATTACTAACTTTTGATGGAAGATTACTAATTTTACCGAGCAATCAAATTAAAAAAAAAAAAAAAAAAAAAAAATGGCTCGAACGGAATCTCTCTCCCTCCCTCCCTCCCTCTCTCTCTCGAATGGTGAAAGAATCCTCGCGAGGACATATATCGCGGATGGATAGAATAATTAGCTTCGCGCGGCGACGGACGTTTACTGGCATTACGCAGCACGACGGCTATTCAGAGTACAGAGGAGCGGTGCACGCATACTTGGAAGCTGTATACGCGCTCCCTCCTCCTCCTCTCGCGCGCGAGTGGTGGTGGTGGAGAGAGCTTTTAATATTCACGTCGTGCGATCAAGACAAATTGAAATCCAGTCCTCGGGCCGCGCCATTCACGCGCGGCTACGCGCCACCTCGGCCTTTTGTAACGTGATTTAGAGTCTCCCGCATATTATTAGTGAGCCGATAATGGGACGAGGAGTCCGAGATCGCCGAGGTGAATCTGTAATACGGTTCGTGGCACCCGGACGCGCCTTTTATCCCGACCGTTGCTGCGCGACCGCGCAGAAGAAAAACGCGTTCTCTCCGCCGTCAATTCGTTCCGTTCGCACGTGGAATCCCGAAGAATGACGCTCGCGGTTTTTTTTTTTTTCTTTTTCTTCTTCTTCTTCAAACGTTTCTCTCATACGTGTATGTACGCGGCCTCTTTACGCGGCCGATCTCTGGGTGTTTTATGCCGCGCGTCTCGTCGAGAATGCAAAATTATCGCCTCTGCGACGCGTCTCTTATAAACGCAGTAGCACATACATACATACGACTTCCTCTCGGAGGATTGAAATAATTTTCGAGATAACGCATTTCGTTGGGGAAAAATTATTCCTAATTAAAAAGCAAGGCGGCTGGAAAAGCGCGTGATGCAACGATACGCCCGGTGAAACCTCGACATCGCGATCTTACCTCTTGCGCGCCGCAAGTATAATAGCTTCACTGTATGTAGATCGTATATTATTTTTCCAATTATGATCGCGATTATTATATGCCTTTCTCTCGTCTCACTTTGATTACACGTGAATCGTCTTTTAATTTCGTTCTCATTAAGTCGAATCTGACGCCGAAACAGACGCGCTTGTCTGGCTCGCGGTATAATTATCATGTCATTATTGTTATCAGGACGCGGCTGCGAGAACGCACTCGACAAGTAGCGATTACAAGTAGCCTTTGTTTTGGGAAAATCGTACAGCAACCAAGCCGCGCGATATTATTCAAGGCAAGAAGATCGCTATCTTGAAAGTCTCTTGAATTTGATAAAAATGCATTCACTTAATTAATTTAATTTAATTTAATTCTGCCTGTAAAACTGTTATCCATCCGTTGATCCGGTCAACGACCTAGGTTAATGACTGCTATGTGTATTTAATAACCGTTTAAATTTCGAGGAGGAAGAAAAATACACACGCTAAGAAAAATAATATTTTTGCGTCAACAAAATTCCAATCTTTCGCTAAATTCTAATACATTGGTGGATAAATTTCACAGATTGATAGGATAAAATTTCAATAGATTGATAGAATTCGACCGAAAAAAAAAAAAAAAAAAAAAAAAAAAAAAAAAAAAAAAAAATGCGGATGGAAAGAATCAGTACTAGGTAGCAATTTCCACGCTATTTTAATGATGTTTTCCTATCCAATTAGATGCGGCAGCGAGAGTAGATACGCCAGGTACCTGCAGACAGAACTCGATAGTGTCGCGATGATGTTCGTTGCCGAGTCAGCGGATCGTATCGCGTCACCGCGGTTCACACGTTGAGAGACATATTAGAGGATCGTGGCACTCTACCGTACCTAAACTCTTGAAAGTTCTGCGCGTTCGCTCGCGTATATAATTTCGCCGTGCCGCGCCGCGACCGGTTGTCGATCAAGCGCTTTCGTAAGAAACACCTGCGAGTCATTATCCCTCGCCTACCTTGGCTTTCCCCCGGCGATTCGATTTGCTTGCGCAAAAAAAAAAAAAATGGGAAAAGAAAAGAATCGCCCGCTCGCCGCTCTAAGCAATGAATGGATTGTCTCTCGGACAGGCCAACTGCATGCCAGGAATTCGAGAATCGTAATCATTCGACGTGATGAATATATTGGGACGCGTGTGACGAAATGTCGAGATAAAATCATCGCGTATCTCTATGGGGGAATGTAGAATGAAAGAAGAGTGGCTTTCTCCGTTTTTTTCGGTCGCCTGATGCACACCGCGGATATCAGACCACAAAAGTCACCGCGTGGATTAGGTCTCGCGCGACACGTTCTATATACCAGTTCTATAAAGAGATCGGCGAGATTTACGACGGCGATTGTGGGAGCGCGCAAAGTAATTATGGAGACGTAGCGGATTCTCCCGCGAATAAATTTGCATATATTTCGCGATACGATTGCAATCTGATCGTGTGCCTTGGGCGCGAATTTCATTGAGTAACTCGATACCGGAGATTCGATTCGGTGGACGACATTCTGAGTGGATTTTGAAGTGGTAAAGGAAACCGACTTTAATCGACGTTTGCCGCGCACATATCGCGTTGTTTGCGATATGTTGCACCGTTCTACGGCAAACTCGACTCGGTAAAGGCTGGAAATAGCTACGGAAACGCAGCTTCTTGCAGTTTAAACCAGATATTTTAACACCTCGATACATCGTCGACAACGTATAGCCATAAATAGATTCTGTATTTTCCACGCTGTTTGTTCACATCGCGCGAATTACGTCTTTGCGATATGCAGTGAAATATCTTTTGTAAACGCCAAGAATTATATAAAAAGAGAGAAAAATTTTGAACATTTATATATATAAGATTATTGAAAAATCAAATAAAAAAAATTTTTCTCCAAATTGATCTAATTGTAATTGCTGTGAATAAAGTCTTAGTGCGATAAAGTAGTCTACGCCTGACACTGTTTTATGGGACAAGATTAAAAGAAAAAAAAATTTTTAAATTTCGGCGTGAAAAATTAAAAAAAAAAAAAAAAAAAAAAAAAAAAAAATGAAGCTTTCGCGATCTTGACAGAAACTTTTCGCGAAAGCAGAGGTTTATTATTTACGTCCACCTTTCACCGGCGTCATTTTGTGTTTCAGTGGTTTATTGCGACTATACTGCCTCGGGAAGGTCACTACAGTTCCTTGAAGATTACATCGCGAAGGAGGTGCTGCCATGTTTGGGCGACACTCGGGCATCCACGTCCATCTGCAGTCTACAATCATCTCTTTTTAGGTAAGCAATAATGGCAGTCCCTGTCCTTCGGAAGAATGAATGTGCTTTACAATTTATGCAGAAGTCCGCCCAATTTTTGCTGAAAATATATAATAAATTATTATATAAATAATTGAAAAAAATATTTGATTTGTTGCAATTTATTACAATAGAATTTTATTTATATCAATTCTTTCTTTTTATTTTCTTATTATTACATTTCTATGCCATAGATCCGTTTTCCAATTCATTTCGCTTTACGTTTAATTTGTTAATATGTATTCTATTGTTTTTTAATTTCTTGTAGAAGTATTTTTTTATTTTTTTCTTCTTTCTCTTTCCTATATTATTTTACAGTCAGTTGCAATAATATCACTTGCTCATTCGGAGAGTCCCTCTCTATCATAGATTAATCTTATTCATATTTAATTCCAACAAATTTGCTGATACTTTATCTATAATGCAAATAATCTCAGACATGTTGTGCTATTAAATTGGTTTATCGTTACCTGCAATTTCTCATCCGTTATTTTCGTCCGTCAAGATGCGATTTCGCCAAGTTATTCTCGCGACGGCAATTTTATGCGTTTTACGTTGTTTTGCTCACGATATCAATTTTAAAAGTTACACACGTCTTGCATCCGGAAACTTTCCCAACCGCGACATACATAAGTTCAATCGGCGTCGAACGTAACGCTCGCATATGTTTGTTCATTAAAAAATATTTATCGCAACGACGCAGTGCTTACCGTTATCGTTCGGTGTTATCGCCGACGACAACTTTCAACCGTGGCGACTCAGAGAAATGTAGATCAAGTCGCCTGTAAATCTCGTTCGGCCGAGTCGATAGCATGAGACGGTCTCGTCTTGATTCTTCCATTTATTGACGCCGATGTCCCAGATCAATATCCACCCTCCTCGAGGCCACGGTACTTACCCTGTGGCCTGTAGCCGATGAGAAAACTGTGATAATAATGACGACACATACGACAGTCTCATCACATGATGAACGACACATTCAGAGACACGTGTACACAATGTGTAATAAATTGCTACGAGCCGCAATTTCATTTTCCCTCTCTGTCTGATTACGCGTTGTTTATCTCAAATGACGCGTAACAACGCTATTTTCAGAGAGAAGATATAAGAACGTTGTAATATTTCTCTAATTTATTAAATACATCTTATATCTAACGTTATTAAAAATTTGCAAAAAATACGCGCACGTGTATATTATTTCTTAATTATTTATGAAAAAAATTATCAAATATAATTTTTTTTTATATTTTGATACGCGGAGTGTATTTAAATTAGAATGACAAAAGTTAATCTAAATCTTTTAAATGGCAAGTTGCCCTTTCTGAGGAATTAGAGCTGTCAAGCGGATAATTTCGTTTACGGATATATAATACGTATCGTGAGAAATCGATAGAAACTATGTAAACTGTAAGGTGCGTGCACTGCTGCTCAACCTATGTCTCGTGTTTCACGTCAGACGTCATACTAGATCTATATTGACTCTGCATCAATTGCGCGAGCACGAATTTATATGTCTCTACTACTCATAAATACCATGGCATTAAACACGCGGTACTTCATAGCTTTATAATATCGTCAACAGTCACCGGCACAGTCTAAAGCATAATAGAAAGTATATTGTCGTCACTGTCAATTGCCATTGTCGTCTTCTTCGAGATGAAAAAATTGTGCGCTAACAAATTCTTTATCACCGATACCGCTTCACAATCGATTCACATGCATTCGCACGTTTATGTTTTGCAGGCATGAGGCCCGAGACATTGTCAGACATGCGGTTGGAGCCGGCGAGCAGGATGCGGTCCTGTTCACGGGTCAAGGCACCGCCGCCGCCCTTCGCACACTTTTACGACACCTCGATCTCTCGAAATCCACCGTGGTCTTCGTGGGCCCGTTCGAGCATCACGCCAACCTGAGGCCTTGGCGCGAGCTCGATGTCAAGGTAGGACAGCCGGGGTGGATAAATTCCCGTGGAAAAGCCGAGCGATTCTGATTCGAGCGCCAGATAAGGGGGAGCGGGCAATAAAACGTGCGATGGAGAAGTGCATCGTTAAAACGGGGCGTGATACGGCGGAGAGATGTGCGTGAGCGATCGAATTGTGCGCAACGAACGCGCGACGTAGCCAGCTCGACTTTTGGCAGCACGCCATTTACGCTCACGCGAGCGGCCATTCCACCTTCTTATCGCGACCTTATACGTTGCTTCATTCTTCTTTTATTATCCGACACCCTTTAAAGATTGAAGAACTTAATCGTTAACAGAGTAATAATTTATAAACGTATACAAGTATATGTATAAATATTGTTTAAACGGCCCGACTTGTCAACTCTGTCGAGGAATCTGTCCCTAACATATTTCCCAGTAACCTTGTATGGGGAACCATTCCCTATAAATATTTTCAAGGCACGATAATTTTCAAATAACCTTTAGCTTAAAATAGTCTAGATTGACGCTTGATCGTTCTTTTTAGCCACCTAATTGCGGACATACTTGTCGCGACGAGTCGTTCATAGAATCAATTAAACCGCTTTACAGATAGTACGAGTTTCCGAGACCCGGGAGGGCTTCCTAGATCTGAATGATCTCGAACGAGGACTAACTAGAATGCGGAGCGAGGGCGTTGCGCAAATGATTGGATGCTTCAACGCTGCCAGTTGCATAACGGGGGTTTTGGCAGATGACGTCGCGACGACCCTCCTGCTGCATCAATACGGCGCGCTTAGCGTGTGGGATTACACCACTGCAGGTAATGCTCGTGAACGAGGATAAGGAAAAACCGGTTGCAAGTCGATCCGATGTGATTAGCCACCGTAATATGATCTTCAATGCGAGTTGTGACGAGAAAGAAAAACAAGGAACTAATTAATCAGCTGGTTGCAAAAACCAGATATTTTTCCGTAATTTCGTATCATACTAATTTCAATGCAAAAAATTTTAAAGTCTTTGCCCGAGGCGTCGATTCATCGTGTATAAATTACGTGTTTCACTATACAGGACATTTGAAAACGTAAATATATTTCTGCACAATTAAGATAATTCAGATATTATTATTGATGACATAATATGTTTTTTATGTAAGCGCGCTCTCGCATTACGTAACGAATGCGATAGGCGATTTGATATCGGAATGGAAGCAACGACGAGCGAATCAACAATGTTATTCTACCGTGTTTCCAGCGCCGTATATTCAGATCGACATGAATCCGCATTTACCCGGAGTCGGGGAGACCGCGGTTCACAAGGACGCCATCATTTTCGCGGGTCATAAATTCATCGGCGGCGTACAATCGCCCGGTATACTCGTGACCAAACGGTGGCTCCTGCGAGAGGATGTCGAGGCAGAGGACATGAGGGACTCCCATCGTTATCATCGCGATCCCGAGCTGCGAGAGGAGAGCGGTACCGCTGGTGTGGTCGAGAGCATCAGATGCGGACTGGCGGTGCAGCTGAAAGAGAACGTCACGCCGAGAGCGATTGTCGCTCGGCAGGATAAGATTTCTAAGTGAGTGATCGCTTCTTTGAGGCCGTGCTTAACAGCGCGGTTGTTGCATGATCGAAATTGCCGCGGATTACGCAAGATATCGCTCATTTTTTTCGCACTGTCCAGGAAACAAATCAATGCTGGTCGTTTCGAATAATTTTCTTGCCGCAAATGTCTTCCTGTTTGCGAGCAAGAACGGCTATCATAGAAAGCGTCGAAAGACTCTTGGTGCACTCTTTTTCATTCGCGACTCATAATTTTCTATCTTTCGGAGAGCTATCTTTGCAGAAATCCAACTACAAACCGAAGATATTATGAATATAAATACGGCTATAGCATTATATACAGATACAAGTTGTTCTATATAGATATGATAAAGTTCGGTACAATCGTAGTTCTTGTCAAAAAATAAACATTTTTTTCTCTCGGCAAAATTTCTAGACATGCAGTTTTTGAGATATCCTATTTTTTAATATGTTGATAATTCTATTATAATTATGTTTAATATATTTATATTTTTACAATGAACTCTTGAAGAAATTTTATTTGAGTTAATAAGACCAATTTATAAAACAAATTTTTTTACAGCAACGAAATGTTTTGATATAAGCAAAACGGATGTTATTTATGTAATTTTTTCTTATTATATATTCTATATTCAACCACCATGAAGTATTCACACGAATATTTCGACATGCTCATGCCTTTAGGGAAATATCATAGTGAATATCTCAACGTACAGTTTTCTTAAGACCTAACAAATTTCTAGCAAAGACTTTTTCTCTATTTTGTTAAGTTACTCACTGTTACGTAACGTATTGCATATTTAATAAAAAAGAAGTAGATGATAGTTTTTATAATATTGCCGATTAAATCTTTGCAACAAGGATGACTTGATCCAAAAATAAGGATATATGGAAAATCATATATTTTCAGAAATTTTGCAAAAGAAAATGATGTTTGTTATTTTGACAAGGACTACGATAGTACCAGTCTGCATTGTGCTTATATGAAACATCCTGTATACATAATCGAAAAGATCTAAACTTTTTTGAATTTGTTAATTATCTTTGCATAGTTACACGGTATGTGAATAGCTTTGCGCAATATTGAATGATTATCGCTTTCTCTTTCCAGGCAAGTTTTATCCCACGTGCGTACAATCCCGGAATTGATTCTACTCGGCAGCTCGTCGCAAAACGTGAAGCGATTACCCATCTTCTCTTTTATGGTACGCCATCCTCGTGGCACGTTTCTACACCATAACTTTGTCTGTGCCGTCCTGAACGACGTCTTTGGTATTCAAGCGCGAGGAGGATGCGCTTGCGCGGGTCGTTATGCTCATGATCTCATGGGGATCGACCGAGAGCTTGCCAAGGAATACGAAAGCATCCTCTTGGAAGGGTATGTCTCGATTTTCTTTTTATTGGATTAAATAATCATTTATTCGAAATCTATTTATTTCCGGTGAAATCAGTTTTCTCTGCTGTAAATACACCAACAATATTTTTATTCTTACAAACAACATGTAAGAATTATCAGAAATCTGAATTAATTCCCATTATATATCGATTTTAATGATCATTGCTTCGTATTGAACGATACCGCCGCACGTGCGAAAGATTACGTACATCATATAGACCGACAATGTAGAAAGTAATTGTCTATTAAACTCGGTGCGGTGTAATTTCGCGTAATAGACACGCGTAGAAATAGACGTTACGTCAACCGCGCGGCAAATCGCCGCGTCTATCTTGGCGCAAGATTCTATTTTTGATAAAAGTGTCGTGCACATTGTGCAAAGAGTTTAATACACACTGTTTTATTTTAGACAACGTAATGGCACTGAGGAGACCACCGCGGAGGGTCTCAGGCCAGGCTTTGCCAGGCTATCCTTTCCCTATTTTATGACCGAGGCGGAAGTTGCCTTCGTGCTGGAAGCTCTCAAGATGGTGGCCACTGAGGGCTGGAAGTTGCTACCGCAATACGTGCTGAATCCTGATACCGGCGAATGGCGGCATCATACCAACAGCGTCTTCAAGGAACGCAAGTGGTTGGGCTCGATCAGATACACGGACGGCAAAATGAGCGCCACGGAGAGGCGAGTTTCCGGTTCCGGTATCTTTCCGCAGACTTATGGCGATTGTCTGCAAACCGCCCGCAACATTTTCAACCGCGCGCGTAAAATGGCGCAACGATATCCGCTGCAAATCGACAAGAGTTTTAATTTTGTGTGCCAGCGTATGGAAGCGTTACGTTGGTTTATGCTGCCGAGCGAGGCGCAGGATCTCCTTTTGGGAAATTCGCAAAACGTTAAACAAGACGTACCGTTCAATCCCTTGTTAGCCTGGAACAGGTTTAGCCGCACGAATACCGTCACGTGTCATGACAGTCTGGTGAATTGTCTAACGCTGACCAACGGTATCAGACGTCTGAACAGCGATATTCCGCGCACGGGTAATATGCCCATCTCAACCTCACCAAGACACCGTAGTCTACCGGCGTTGAGCACAGTTAGGCGAGCCATGATCGCGACTACGATCGAACTGAATCAACCGTCGTCATCGAGTAACAGCGAAGAGGAGAGCTCAAATCAAAATGAACACGGCAATTTCTTCGGTGGGCCTCGATCACCCGCCACGTGTCCGAATTCACCAATGCCAGTCAGATTCGCGGTGGGCGAGGCCGTGACCACCTCGGTTTTGGGATCGATATCCCGTACTGCCGTTCAACCGACAAAGGAGCAGAGGGGGTTGATAGATGCGGCCAATGCCGGACGCGCTAGATGCAATTCTCTGGGGAGCACCACTGACGGATGTAACGTTCCGGGAAATCGCGCCGGTACCGCATCGGCGTCCTCGCCGATTCCGCCGCTTCCCTTGAGCCCGCAGACTCTGACCAGTTTGGGACTGAGTACAACAAACGTTTCATCGAAGCATAAACGTCTTCATTGCAGTTGCAGCAGTCAGACGGAGCTGAACTCCCTGGAACTGGATTCTGCCGGCAGCCCGAGTCATTCGATTTCCTCCTTGAGCTATATTAATCATAATCCGGCGTCACCACCGTCTTCGTATTCATCGACCAGCGATTATACCGAGAGATTGGTAGGCGGTGGTAGATTATCACCTATCTCCACGAACACGAGCCAGAAATCCGAGGATGATCTGAGCGCTTACGTAAAGGAAATGACCAAGGAATTAGCGACGGAAATCAAATCGGAGATCCGGGAAGTTATTTCCAAAGTTGATGACGCTCTGTCGGAGACAAATACATCCGAAAACACACCGCAACATCATTCGCGAGCTCACAGTATGGTTAATCAAATATTTGTGGAAGATAAACAGCAATTGAGGCATGACTCATTCACAGCCAGTGACATTGCCGAATACTTGATGGAATTCTCAAAAGAAATGGCGAGCGAAGTTAAATCTGAGATAAGGTATTTCATTGTTATTAATAAAAAAATTAAAAATATATAATTATTAAATTATATATATATATTAAAAATATTATAATGTATATTATATTTTGTGAATTTTTATGAACAGGTGCATGGTGAACGCCGTTGATGGACTTCACAGGTATTCGCCAGATGCTTCCACTTCTGATGTTTCCTCAAACGGATGCGGTTCACCTGATCGAGGAAGAATCGTACTCCCATCATCGGCATCCCCGCGTCTTTCAAGCTCAAGAAAAAGCGGCCAGATCGAGATTACCAGCAAGGTCGGCGAATTGTCACAGCAAGAAAGCAAAATGTCTAGTGAATGTTCTTCGGACGAGACTGTCATCTATGTGATGAAGCCATCCGAGAACGAGCGCAGTCGCTCGAAGACCGAGGACGAAGAAGTGGAAAACGATGTGGATGATTACGTGGATGACGATCCACAGGAAGGACGTGGCGGCCTCGACATTGGCGACGCCCGGAAAATCCTACCGAAAATCTATTCGGCTGTGAACTCGGTTAGTTCTCAAGACAGCGGTATAAATCTGTCCTTTCACGAGAGCGATAAATCGATAGACTCGCTGGATCTAAAACGAAGCAGTAGCGCTGAATCCAACTCCGCCAACAGTCACGGACGAAAGCCTAGAACGACATCGATGATGAGTTTATCAACTAAGAGTGGTAACAAACAACACGCACGTCAAAACGATAATCTTTCGGAGGACGAGGAGTGCACGGGCGATCTGAGAGAGGAAGAGGGCGATGGTCAGGAGAATAATTTTGAAGACAATGAATCAAGACTCGAATTTCCGCGAACTCAATGGCACTGTCCACCGAAAAATATCTGGAAACCTTCGGTGGAGGCTATGCAGGAATTCGATATGATCCGGGACAACGACAGGGTCCTAGTTTGTCTATCGGCGAGCGGCAAGGACTCACTGTCCCTTCTGCATACTCTGCATCAGTACAGATTTTATGCCAGGTCGAAGGGGATTGACTTTGAGATTGGCGCGGCCACTATTGACACAGGTGGTTCTGACCCCTTGGAAATGATGAGTTATCTAAAAGCCCTGAACGTACCTTATTTTTATGAGGAACTGGTAACAGACTTGACTAACGCTAACGTTGACAATCCATTGGACGCCAGCATCGCTAGCGGCACTTGTAGTTTCTGCGATAAATCGATCAGAACGCAATTATACTCTGTGGCAAAACGCAACGGATATAACGTGCTGACGCTCGGTCAACACTTGGACGATCTCGCGGAGAGTTTCCTCATCTCGGTATTACACGGTGGCGTGTTGAAAACCATGAAAGCTCATTACTATATACGTCGAGAGGATCTCAGGGTCGTTCGACCGTTCATCTACGTACGGGAGAAGGCGTTAAGACAATTTGCTGAAAGTAAAAAGCTTCCGATCTGTCAGGATTTAAAAACTTTATCTGAGGTAAGATGTTCAAATATTTTTTAGAAATTTTTTTAAAGCAGCAAAAAAATATATATAGCCGTGTGTCGTAGATAGACGCGTGTTTTTTAATTTAATTATTACAATTTAAGAAATTATTATCGCATTGTTATGCAAATAATTACATTTTTATTGATTTTTATTTACAGAAACAAAATAGAAGAAAGGAGTTGATGCTCCAGCAGGAACGCGCGTATCCTCGACTGCATTGGTCCGTACGCACGGCTCTACGGCCCTTGATAACCGCTCACGGGCAAATCACCGCTTTCGATTTGACCTGCGGCGGCAGCGGCGGTAACAATATTGTCAACAGTCCAAGTAGCAGCACCAGCAGTACTTGTAGCAGCATAAGCGGCGGCGGTAATAGTAATGGCAGCAATACCAGTAATCAACAGAAGCGACATAGGAGAACCAAGACGAACAATTCCATGGCGACTACCTCCTCATCTCAACAGACCGACGAGAACGACGAAACCGACGAGGAGCCTGTGCTCTGAGGCGGGCCCGTCGCGAGATGGGATTCCGATCATCGCGCAGTCTCATCTTCGCGTCTCCGTCGCAGATGTCCGACGTCGACGTTCGCCCTCGTTAGAAGAAGGCGATTGCGCTTCGCAGCCGCGGTCGCTGCCGCTAAAGCCAACGATCAAAGACGTGTCGAGCACGGCAATTGAGACGATAGAGAAGGAAGCATTTAAACGCAGCGATTTTGCGAAGAAAATTTGAAGAATATTCCTCGTGGTTCCTTAACATTATTCGCGTGTGTAATCCTTGCTCGTTGCGCAAGAATCTTGACGAGAATGACTCGCCGCATCAATCATTGAAAAGTGAAATCATTACAGTGAATAACCGTCTTACTTACTCGAGAAAAGTGACTATTATCGAGTTAATGATGATCTCGGATATGAACAGTTACTTTCCGAAAATTAGATGAACATTTTTCAGAGAAAAAGAAGAAAGGAAGAAATGCGGTCGACAGAATGTTATTTACTTAAACAATTTAAGGACGATGTAAGCATAAGTCCTCTTTTGTGTTTACAATGAATAAGAAATTTACTTGCTTATGGATAGTTAAGTGTATCGGCAGCTGATTAGCTGCTTTACGCGGAGATATGATACAATGATAATCGATCGATGAACCGATAACAAACAGAATAATCGACGGTGCGTCGTGCCGTTATATCATGTCACGTCGATTGTTTGCATAGGATGATAAATAGGTCGTCGCGTATACGACGTATTAAGGGACGCGATACGCTTGAAAGACGCGATAAGCGATAGCTGCTTAATATTGAGACAGATATTATGTGTTATATATCTTACAGAGAAGTCATGCAGCAGGGAGACCGGGAATAGTTTCGTGAGAGAGCCAAAACCTCGACCGATCCCGCGAAAAAGATCGTTCCACGACAATTATATCTTTTATATACATATACATCTTTTTTATTTGATATGTCGTCCCCTTAGTATCGCTCTAATAATTAAGATCATTGAGATCTCGCAATGTCTTTTTCTAATGCGCATTTTCGATGGTATTTTCGACTTTCTCGATGGTACGACTTAATGATGGACGTCATTTTTTGCGGTCAAAAAAATGCGTCTTTCAGATGATCTGTCGGGAAAATTTGTCGGTTTGCGGTTACGTCATTTCAAGTGAATTGGGTGCAATATCATTCATTGAATCGGTTAATCCGCTTTCGAGAAGCACAATCGCTCGATCAAATTTCAGTTATCGAGATAGAGATGCGAAAGAACCACATCGAGAGGTAAAGGTTTTGACGAATTCTCACCTGCATGAACTTCGAGAAAGAGGTACTCACGCATGCATGCGATGCGTAAGGAATTAACGTATACGCTTTTCGCGAATAAAACGTATAAAGACATTGGAGATTGTCTAAATATTTTCAAATAACAAAAAAAAATTATTAAGAAGGGTACTAAAATTACGACAACAATTAAGAAACGTATGAAAAAAAATTAATGTCTTGCTTTCCGTAATTTGGTGCGATAAATACGAGAGACTTGTAATAAAATATTAATTTAAGAATTTGTTAGAAGAGAGACAAGTTTGTCGTATCTATCGGACAAATATTTGAATGGCGATCTCCAATGTTTTAGACTGTGCAAAACGAAGGCTGTTTCTTTTTAACTGGCATCACCGACAATGCGATGACACAATAAAACTGCGCTTCTTTTTCAACGTAAGTTTGCTAATCCGCGATGCAGCTCGATCGACGCTGTGATCGATAAGTTAAGTTTCGATACAAAAAAATAACGACGGCGAATGATGGACGAGTTGCAAATAAGAGTCCAGTTATATCGTCGGTTTCTTGAAAAATGTAATAGCGTGATAGATTGTTGCGTCCTACACTCCGATGAAAAATATCAAACAAGCAAAATGCTAAATCTTCGAGAAATAGGAAAAAAATTAAATTAAACTTTGATCGAAGATGTACCAAATTACTCTAATGTTTTGTCTAACGATAACAAAGACTTGAGCACGATTGCATCAATAGTTCAGGAATCAATTAGTTGGATGAACGATTCGCGATTCTTTTCTAGATTATAGAAACCTGTCTATTAGATAGACAAAGCGATAAAATTCGGTTAATATGTATCATTGCTAATCGGCAATGATGCTTCGATCATGCAATAAAATATATACAAAGAAGATTTCCGAAAGATTATTCGCAGGGTACTTAAAATTGACACGTCTATAATGATAGAGTCTAATGATAAATTATGTTACGTTGGGAGGGAAGCACATATAATTTGGACCATGTAAACGCCAGTTGACAATGAATCAGCCGGATGACAGTTTAAGGAAACTAAGTAAGTGGATAGTCCAAGAAAAACTAATATCAAGATTTGTGAAAGGACATCTGATAATATATACATATACATAATTCATAAGCCGATAGGCACCAATCGATTATGATACTTATAGCAGCAGTCTTATGTTGTTCACTTCTTCTCTCATGTTCGGCTGTTGTACGCTCGCTAATTGTTAGGACTATAAGTAAGACTTAAGACTTGTATGTAGAGATCGCATGTACAGCAACGTACGCAATGTAGACGATGACCGTATAAAATAATACGTACGTACCGTTTGTGTCGTACTCAGTTTTTTAAAGCGTTCGTTCATTCGTTTGTTCGTTCGTTCATTCATTCGTTCATCGTTGAATCCAAGATGATAAAAGGCGGAATTAACAACCAAATGCGATAAGCGAAAAGGAAGTCTTGATCTATATGAATCATTGCGAATAGATATTCTCATATTTTCCGAGAGTTACGAAAGGGACATTGTTACTGTAAAGATATGTAAGTTTATTTATCTCTAATAAAAATGAACGTTTAAGAAAAAAGTATACTTTCCTTATATGCTAATAATCCATTAATTCATTAATTAAAATCAAGATTTCAAGAGAATCATGATTCCAGGAATTTTTAGAATCTTGTTATGTCTGTTAGCGTGTGAACTGGAAAGATTTAACTCTCAAAAATCGAGAAAGTATCAGAACATAATCGGCAAATAAGTGGCACGAATTAAAATTCCGAGAGAGAATCACACAATTGCAGGAATTTTTAGGATTTTTAATCTGGTAATTTAAACTGGTAAAAATCGGCAAATAAGTGGCACGAATTAAAATTCCGAGAGAGAATCACTATCACATCATTTAATTCTCGAAAATTGGAAAAGTATAGGGGAACAAAATAAGCAAAAAAGATCGCACGTACTGAATTTATAAAAATCGCGATTCCAGGTATTCCTAGAATTTTAAATCTGCCGCTTTGATCCGGGAAAAATTAAACTCTCGGAAATTGGAAAAGTCACAGGAGAAAATATAATCAGTAAAGAGGTGACACAAACTAAAATTCGAAGAATTACAATTCCAGAAATTCCTATAATTTTGATATCTGACAATTAGATCCGAGAAAAATTAAATTCTCGAAAATCGAAAATATTAAAACATAATCAATAAAAGGAAGACACGGGAATTAAGTTTACAAGAATTTTAATTCTAAGGGCACTGCTTTAGGAAATGTGTTGAAAGGAATTGAATTAATTTAACAAAATGTTTTTTAGCGATTTATTAAATCCTTTAAAATATTTTAAACAGCGTGCGGCTTTGTTATTGGCGTAACAGTGATATAGTCGTTTAAGGTACATAATACGAGGCCTGACGAGAGCAAAGCGAGCGAAGATCGACATAAGATTCGCTCGCCTGTTCGGCTTGGACGCCGATGATTTCAGGCGACCATTTCCGAGAGGGATCGTGAAAGGTTCATCGATTTGATACGATTATGCAAATCAGCGAGATTGATCGAGCGACGCGATCTTTTGATCTTCTCTTTCCCCTCGCTCGGCGATCGCGCCATCGCATGCCGACGCATGCATCGGCACGATCTGTTGAGAATGGTGCGGTGCATGTTTTGTCCCTCTCTTAAGATTATTTTAAATGGAATATAACATTATCTAGTGTTAGACGCGAGAGTAAAATCGAGAGAAAGTCCACATACGAGACGGAATTCATTACGATCTAGTCGATTTTATATCTTAAAGAGTCGCCGAGTGCGGCGTCGAGAGACTCGGAAAAAGATAGAGCCGGCGAGAAACGGTGCCGTCTCTGATATCGAAGCAGTATAGGATCGAAAATACGTGCAAAATGAATAATTTATCTCAACTAGGTTAACATCTCTCGCACTTAATGCTTGCTTTTCGTGTCGCGAGAGATTATCTCATACTCAACTCATTCATTAGCATGACACGAGCTGCATTTCGTTTCGCGAGATGAAAGTCACCATAGCCGACCGCTGATGATTTATCCATCGTTTTAACAAATTTATGGCACATCGCCAGAAACGCTTATCGTTGTCCAGCGTGGCAAAATCTCACCAAGAGATTCGTTACCAACTGACTCATAATTATCTGGCTGTAATTTTATCAGTGATTCGTTAAATGTGCCAAGAAACGTTTCTCGTAATCTCATATTTTATTTCTGTATTTATTCATTCAATTTACGTTGCAATTGGAATTTTTATTTGATTTAACATTTTAAAATTAATCTGTTTTCTCAAATAAATATTTTAATCTTTTTAATTAATATGTCATATTTTTTTAAATTCGTTATAATTTTTGGAATTATAATTTACAATATTCATATTGCACTCATTTATCAGCAGACGGCTTATAATAACTAGTAGTCAAATAAAGTTTCACGAACCACATTGAGTCATGACATTCGTGATTTATCAAGAATCCCCCGCTTGAGGGAAGCTCAATTCGTATCTGACGCATTTAGTTATACATCAATAATGCAAATTCGTGCTGTATTCGCGATAATTTGCAGATAATGTAGCTCAGTGCAGATTATTTTACCTATTCACGATGCATTTAGCGAGACTTTCGCATTCCAGCGTTAAAATTTGATTCGAAATTGGAGAAGAAGGATGAGAACTAATAAAACGTAAACGGATTCGCGTAGTCAAAGTTGAGCCGCGTTTCGTTTGTGGAGGCGCAATTGCACGCGATTCGAATTGCAAACGTGAGAGAAGGGGATATTTCGTGCAAGTCGAGAGATTGCACATCGTTTTTGCCTGATCTGGCTTATCTAACAAAGAGAAGCGGTGACTGCAGCTCTTCTTCGTCGTCTTCTTCGTCTTCGTCGATTCCCGACTCGCCGAGAGCATGAACGAATTCTGAAGAATTAGAAAAATATTAAATAGATATTAAATATATTAGGATAATAACAATTTTTCGTCGTGGATTTATTTTTATAATAAAGAAAAAAGAGGAAAAAAAAAATAAAGAGAGATGTATTTTTTCCTTTTCTTTACTTTTTGTATAGTTCTTAAACAGCTTTTACCATTTCATACTTTCCTCAGAAGAGAATTATATTTTCTTCCTATTTTAGATATAAGTACATCGATCATCTTACGGATGGATCATGTTCGAGAATAGAAATTGAAATTTTTGTTTCACTGCTGTATTTATTACCGCATTTTCTTTACGAGAGTAACTGTAATATAATGCAAAAGAAATCTTACCATAGAAATCAATTCGGCCGTCCCCATCCACATCCACTTCCTTAATCATGTCTTCGACTGAAAGCAAAATGAAAGCTTCTTATATTGCGCAGACGCGTTTTTTTCGGTATTACTGAACCACTGAATAAGAATTGTTGTTATAAAAAGAAACTCAGAGATATTTCCTGCGTGGTATGTAATTGAGGGAATTTTTGCGTATTTCTATATTTCTAAACTGTCGGCTTCTCACACGAAAATCCACATATATTTTCTTGCAGTAATTCAATTAATATATCTTTGCCGCGTTCAGCAATGAGGATTAATTCGTATCACGAGTGCCGTCATCGATGCCGAAAGAAAGATATTGCCGATATACCCGCATTATTTCCACGTAGAATTTATTGCTACGAAAAGGAATGAAGACGGCAATACGATCCGTTACGGAACAACGCTGGCATTCGAGGACTTTTCTTGAAATGCCTTCCTGAAATTTCCAAAATTAATTTTTACTAATAAAAAAATATAATTCTTATTAAACATCTTTATTATTAGTCTCGGTTTTATTATTATTATTATTCAAGCTAATCAAGAAGCTTTATCTTCGATCACACACATATTCGCTTAAAATAGATATGTAATACTCCGATAAACTAATGCTAAATCATAAAATTAAAATAGCAATACATAACGTAGTATAACGTTGAAATATATAATATAACGTAGCGATGTATCGTAGCGATGTATAGTTTGCAAACTATAATTCGGCCAATTGTGGCGACTGTCCCGAACTTTGTGCGATTTAGTTTAAATTGATTGCGGCCAATCAAGAAACTTATGTTGATCGTCGGTCGTGCGAGATTATCAAATTACTATCGATTGATATAAGCAAGATTTTCCGGACCGATGAACATGTTCTACTTGCATTTTGACACAGAAAAATTATCTATATTTTTTGGTCTCTATCCTTGATATTCGTAACTTAATGCGTACAATTGCATTGAAACTCACATTTTAGCTTTGCAACAATGCCAACATTTTTTGCAAAGCTACGAATTAATAATTATCAAATCATGTTTGAACAATAGTTATGGATTTTTTTTATCGCGTTTTTCGTATTTCTTGTTTCTCGTTCATTTTTACAGGAACGTAATTCTAAGTAAGTGTAATTACCACTCGCGCAAGAGGATACTGTGCACGTTTTCTTAACAAAGGGTCAATTATCTTTTTTTAAATGCTTTTTTAAATATATAAACTTTTACGTGCACTTCATTCTATCAGAGAAATTACGCTGGAGCAATTAAGATCTCCCGGAAGAGTTTCGCCCGTGGAAAAACGTATGCGCGAAACGTGAATCTTCTCGCTTGTATCTTCTCTAGACGTCTTATATAGTCTATTTATATTCGTCTTTTAATTAAGCGGCATGTATTCGCGAAGATTCGTATCGCGGGTCAAAATTTCATTCTTTGTCAAATGAAAAGTATCGTTCCCTGTTGATAAATATGTGCCGAGATGTATGCGAGATTCTTGTGTATTTCCAAAGCGTTATTCAATCAAGACGATTGTCGTAATCACGATTAATACCCGGCGTCCGAGAGGAAACATGTCATGGTTTGCAACTAGTTGCAATCCGGATTAATGAATACATGGCAATGTGTTCGGAGAGTATCCACAATAGCTGTACATAAATGCATGAATTCTATAAAAGCCATTTATCGTATTATTTAATAGAATATAAATTTGTAATGTATTCTAAAGGATATATGTATAAACGTTATCTCTGTCTAATATGCGTGAAATTTGTGGAAATCAAATTATCAGTAGTTAATTGAAAATATGTCTTCGAAATGATCCACGTAATTCTACGGCAATAGCCGCACAATAATCGATATTGTGGCGCGACAGGGCATTTACGATGACACGAGTGATTTCGTTGAGTTCGTTGCTTGCTTTATTTGTGCAAACACTTGATTGGCACAAGCGCGAGAGAAAAGCTGACGTTTTCACGGTAAAATAATCGTGAAGCGCGATAAAGACGCGGTCTTTAGGATTTGCGATAGGCGTGTGTCAACAAACGGAATCAGGAAATTCAAGTTTTGTGACTCTGTAAAATAACAAGGGCAAGTGTTCAAATAATATTCCAGAGCAAAGATAATAACTGAAAAGTGAATTGGGGAATGCTACATTCTCTCGTGGAAATTCTGTTAAATATTGCGCAAGAAACGATATATACAGCACCCTTTTATTTGATCAGACAAAATTGCAATCTGATTTATTTTCAGCAAAGTAAGGCTGAAAATGGACCATTAATTTTAGTCTTTTTAAAAATATCTTAATTAATAAGCTTATTTTGGAACAAAGTATTATCTTTAGAAATCATTGAAATTCTCAAATATTTCTGTAAAATTGCGAAATTGCATTAATTTGCTTATAAAATTATACTTGCAGAATTATGTTACTTTTTTACGAATACAATCAGGATCAACGATCGTCTTTATAATATCAATATCAAAAATTAATAATGTTAATAGTAAATAAAACTTTCGATAAAATTATATATATTATAAATAGAAATTGATTCGAATAGTACCGTCCCAATTCTACCATAAAATACGCTTTCCGAGAATCAATCGGTTTTAGGTGTGCCAATTTAGACGGAAATGATCTACTTTGGCTTTTATTGCTAAAGTTTCTCTTATCAAAAGTATTTTAGATGGAAAACATCGACGCAAGTTATATCCATGTAATCACGTCACGTTCATCGTAATAAACCATCAGTGAATACATTAATACTTACTTTCCTCCTCGGAAAGATCTTCTCCCAGACATTGCAAAACCGCTCTAAGGTCCGACGCAGTGATATACCCACGATTATGTTTGTCAAATACCTGTGCGACAAATAAACAGAAAATCAATTCAATATGTATAACACGGCAAACTATTGCTCATTTATTTTTCAACTCTCTTTTACGGAACATTATTGTAATATAAAATATTTCAAACGGCAAGAAATAAAAATTTAATTGCGTCGTTTATATCACTAACTTTTATTAATTTTGATTTCTTTGAAATGTTCGGATAATTGCGGTTGTAGCGCGAGAGAAATCGATATTTTCTCACACCAAGTTTGTTGTTATATCTTCCTTCGTCGCTGAATTGGTGGTGCCGCAATCACATAGCGACTTCGAGGGAAAAAAAGATACGGCAAATATTTTTTTTCGCGAGGGAAATAAGCTTCTCTTCGAAGAGCTCACTTTACGATGGTGTTTACGAAAACCTTTTGCTCTTGTCCGTCTTTACCTCCGCTCATTATTAAGCAGGAACATTCTAACAAGCGATGTCGACTTTTCCACAATTGTGAAAGGAAATCAAGACGAAAAGATACGGAGGGACTACAAACGAGACATCAATCATTCTTCCTTACTATTAATTGTACACACGACAGTATATTCTAGTGGCACAATTTGTATGAAATCGAAGCAAGCAGACGCGAATCGAATTGTCCAGATTCTTCTCGAAATAGAATTATGATTGATGCTGCATCAGAGAATTGTTCTCTTTGAAACGTTCGCATCTGGTACATGATCGCTTATGTTACTACATTTCACAGCAATCTTCCGTTCAATGCTCTGATAGATTTATTGAAGCAATGATAGGAGGAGCATTGTCGAAATTCGTCAAATTGGCACAAGGATTGCTCGCAAAATTCTTCACCTCTATTTTTCGCTTCTGCGAAGCCTGAGATCGTAGGAGGATTATCACAAGGAGCACTTTGGCATTTAGCGTACAAGACAATGCAGAAACACCTGCTATTGGAAGCAATATATTGTTGTGCACAATATTACTTGCTCGTACGAGCATAGCCAGCTTGTTTCAGATGGTTTGTCTAAGTTACATTAATGAGAAGTTATTGCAAGTACAGAGAAACAGCTTAGATTGCGTCGTCGAACTACGTTTGCGATCTCCTCCTTGTTTGTCCGATATCTAGTAGAGCATCCCTTTACTCCTTTGTAGAGGCAAAGAGGCTTACTCTAAATATCAAACTACTGCTTTTCTGCGTATAATTTAGATAGACAAGTTTCGCAGCGGATGCATTTCGCAAAGTATAGACTCTTACACAGAATTTTATTTTTTCGTTCTGACAGTCAGATTTGAAAGAGAAAGATATTAAAGGAAGAGAGAATTGAAAGAATAAATCAAAATATATATAAAATCAAGTTTAGATAATATACAAAGATCATATGTCATCTTGAGGCAAGGATTATAGTATACATGAATAAAAAAAATAACTTATTTTGTTTTATAAAAAGTAATTAAAAATATCTAATATAAATTATATTAGAAAAATTGTATGTGAAATATCAAAAACATTTATATATATATTTTAAATAAAAGGCATTTTAATTAATATATTAAAATTTTTATCTTAATAATCATTAAAATACATTTCTTAAAAGATCATTGTTAATGTTATATATTTTTGATGTCATATATTTTGATAACACTGTTGTCGCGCGAGATGAGTTTGACGATACAGATCTTTGAGAATTTTATAGAACCCTAAAAAAACAAGGAACCATAATCAATATTTCGATCTAAAAAGTTGATTTTCTAAAAAACAAACTTCCCTGGACAAAAAATATTATCCTACAATTTCAATTTATTTTTTTAGGAGAACTTCAATCTTATATCACGATTGCTTTGCGCGCGATCCGTTTTTTCTAGATATTTTATATAAATACGGAATTTATAGAAAATCTGTAAAAAATGTATATAAAATATATATATAAAG